ACTAACAAAAAAAAACCTCTTAAAGCTGAGACCACAAATTTGACTCTAATATATTAATGGTCACCCATTGTAATTGGATCTTAAAAGAAGAAAGAACACAGCAGATCAAAAGATGTCATCTCATCTTGTTCAAGCCCATGTTTTCCAATGAACCAGTTCTTTAGAAGACATGTATTTTATGGGGAATGCTATGTATGTGTTAATGGATAAACAGAAATGTGTTAACAGATAAACAGAAATGACATTTAATTTCAAGCTCCATTAGTAACATACAGGGAATGGAGAGAACAAGGTCAGACAAGATGGTAAAGGACAAAAGTATTTCATTTCCAATTACTTAAAAGAGTGTACAAATGTAGAAGCTAAGATAATGTTGAGGGCTTGCCAAATGAAAATAGAAGGGATCAGAGCAAAGAACCAGAAAGCTTTAATACCTGAATGTCTCAAAATCCTCTATATTCTATGGAAATAATTGTTTTTACAGCAAGCATTTGGACCATATAGTCTGCAGGTCAAATCCAGTTTTTTTTTCTGTTTATGTAAATAAAGTTTTATTGGAACATAGCCACACTCACTCCCTTGCGTGTTGTTTTGGGTAGTTTTCATTGTACAACAGTAGATCTGAGTTAAGTTCAAGAGAAGACCTATGGCCTGAACAGACTAACAGAGTTACTACCTGGTCCCCGCAAATTGTCAATCTTTGGTGTAGATTAGTGAATGGGGATACATGAGTATTCCTAACTTCATTAGGATAATCCCTAAGCTTTTATTACATATTCTCTGGGCTGCAAAGGCAGATCAAAGAGGAAAATCATGTTTGTTTGTTTTTAAGGCATGCAATCATTTACTTAAATTTGCTATGTTTGGGTTAATATGACTAAAAGTTAGTCAAAAGTATTTCCTTTGTCAGGCTAATATTATTCTTCCTCGTAAAAAAAAAATAGTGCTGAACTTAATTTTCTTTAGTCTGTTTAAGAATCTCAAACTAGCTTAAGAAAAAAAGGGGTGGGGTGGGGAGGGGGAGCTGGGAATTTATTGGCAAATAGTCAAATGAAGTCAGACCCTGGGAATCTGAACACGATTCGCTTTCTTGTGTCTCTTGGCTTTCTCATTTTCCTACCATGTTTTTCTCCTCCTCCTTTTCCACATTCCTGCTCCTTTTTCTGTTCTGGCCTAATGTTTTCCTACTGCAATTGGGTTTTCTCTATGAGAAGAAAAGTATGGACTCTTGACAGCTCCGGATGTGTTTGCTTCATGCCACAATCCAAGCAGCCTGAGGGTATTTCTCTCATCCAGGTTTATAAAGAAATCCCAAAGTGAGAGGCTGCAAGGCTATTTGGGGATTTATCCCTCCTTTCCTATGACCTCGTATAAGGGGTGCAAAAGTTTGGTCTATCTCAGGTCTCAGGCCCACTCCTGTGGTACCAGGATCTGCTACAAATAAAGAACAGAAAAGCAGGTGGTGTGCAGACAAAAGCACAGAGCTCATTCCCCATATCCAACGGCCTTTTCATAGCACAAGAGTCAAAGGGAGACTCTGAAAATCAAGGGTTAAATGTCTTCTCTCATATATGGAAGTTGAAGAGTACAAAGAAATAATAAAAAACAGAGATCTTGAGAAAATAGAACAGTAGATTAGGAGCAGAGGACGAAGGTGAAGGGAGGAGTGGAGACAACTGCGAAGAAATGGGCAATAAAGTGGACCAAATTATTCTATGTGTATGTATGAACATGCACTCCAATTGTATATATATATATAACTGCAATGCATCAGTTAAAAGTAAATTAATAAAAAAATTAATTAATAAATAAAAAATATGGACTTTTGACAGCTCAGGATGTGTTTGCTTCATGCCACAATCCAAGCAGCCAGAGGGTATTTCTCTCATCCAGATAAGTGGAGTAGAGGAAGGGAATCAGGTGGAGGGAGGAGTGGAAGGAAGGAGCTATTACTAGGAAACAGAGAAGATTGTTCTATGTGTATGAATGTCATAATGAACCCTACTGTTATGTGTAACCATAATGCACTAAAAAGAGTCAAAGGAATTTCAAAGAAGATGTTGCACCTGTTCTTCAACTTTGGCAGGCCTCTCCTGACACATAATTGATTATTAAATATATTCTGATTTGAAAACCTATCTTGATTTCATAGCTTCATCACCTGTTTCTCAAGGAATGATTTATTTTTCGTCCTTCAATTGAGCTTCAAGGACAGACATACAATGCTACAAACTGCTCTGATTCTCCCTTTCTCTGATCAACTTATTCCAGTTTCTTAGTTCCTCCTCAAGACTCTGTGGTTGAGATTTCACTTATTTTTGACTCTCTAAAGATTTGTTACTGTAAAATTTAAAGCACACCTTCTTAACACATGAATCTCAGAATGTGACACAGAACAATAATCCAAATGACCCTGCATATATTTGGAATTAAAGGCAGAATCAGATTTACCTGGAAAGAATTCTTAGCTCTGCCACTAATTTGTTGTATGCTATTGAAGCAATCAAAATTGTACTTAGAGAAGAAGTATAAGACATTCAATTAAATAAACATTTATTGAAGATCTGCTGTACATCAGCAATGAACAGTATGTCTTGACCCTCTCAAATCATATATGGCTTGGAGAAAATAGACAAGTTTATAGGCTGCTTTCATACCCTGTGATATGAAATGGATGTGCAAATACTATAGGAAGACAGAGCAGGGATTCAACCTGGACATCCGAGTGAGTTGAATTCCCCTCTTCCCAGAGGAATCACTATATGAAACCAAAGCAATCAGCCAGGCAAAGCAGCAAAGAGTGAATAAAGGGATGAACAGTGTTTCTGGGGGACATTATTTTTCAGATGTACCATGATACAAATGAGCATGATTTGAAGGAGCTAAATATTATCTGGGTATCAGTCAGGAATCTTCAGGTAGCAAGTAATAGAAATTCATTTGTAACTGGTCAAAGTATGAAGTGTTTTGCTCATCAACTGTTTTAGTTTTTTCATCACTGTGACCAAAATCCCTGAAAAGAACAACTTAGAAGAGGTGAAGTTTATTTGGGGCTCATGGTATTAGAGGTCTTAGTCCATAGATGGCCAACCCGACCCCATCTGGGCCCAAAGAGAGGCAGCACATCCCAGGAGAAGGGCTCACAGAGGAAAGTCTCCCACCTCATGGCGGGGTTAGGAAGCAGAGAAAGAAATGGGGAAGGGGCTTCCAGGAAGATGAACCTTCCAGGGCAAACATCTAGTGACCCTCCTCTTCTAACTATGCCCCACCTGTCTACACTTATGACCCAATTCGTGAATGGACTGATTAGTTTACAGGTGTCATAATTTAATAATTTTACCATCGAATTTCCTGCATGAACAGGAGCTTTGGTTGGGATACCTCATATCCAAACCATAACATAAAACAACCTATAAGTAGACTGCGATGGCATTAGTTATAGAGATCTGGGATTGGAAAAATGCCGCAACTCTTTTATCTCTGCTTCTACCTTTTGCTTCTTTTCATGGGTTAGGTTTTTTCCTCTACTTCACTTGTTGACTGTTTTCTCCATACAATTAAGTAAATGAGCACTGGAAGCTAGATTCATGAAACAATAGCTTTTCCATTGGAGAGGAAATATGAGGGGCTATTTTCTATTTGTTCTAGCCTGTAAGAATACAAAGCATTGTGAGGGTGATGTTTTACCCACCTAGCAATTAAATGAGTTAGCCTGTTAGTTTCCAAATGTTAGCAGAAGTCACTAGGCTGTTCAGGCAAACAGAGGATTTTTTGCTCATGATACAGCAGGTAGCATAGGCTTCGTGTTCACATCAGTTCCTTTGGTTTACAAGTGTCATGGGGATAAGAGGATGTTAAACACAATGGGCTTGTGTCGAAGCTGAGGATCCCAGATCTTAGGAAACCTTCACTTCATAAAGTGAAATGCTAGCAAATCTATTCAGGTTTTGTACTGAAGGGAGACATCATCTTCTTTATCCAAATCAGAGAATCAATCTGCTCTTTGACACAGAGGGAAATGTCTTTAGCTTCCAATGAGGATTGCTATGCAAGGGTCTTTTAAGGTAGTCCAGGATAAGAATTGTCCTACAGTGTGTAGGAATACTACAGATTGCCTTCCAGCAATACCAGAGAAGGAAATCAAATTGATGTGTCTGGGGTCAAGTGCCTAAACTGATCATGTACTTCTTTTCAGAGAGATGAAGTCCAATTATTGGCTTTGGTTAAGTCAATTTTTCCAACCAGAGGCTAGGGTCAAGGTTGTTTACCAAGACGTTAGAATGTGCTTGACAAAGACAGTGAAACAGTGTATATTATCAGCCTGGTTTGCTAGCACTTCACACACTCCTTGTACTATGAAGACATTCAACGCATTCAAATAATTTTCCTTCGTAAGAATGAGTCACTGGTATCCGTGGCTAAGATAATGGTTATTATGTTTGAACAGAGGTTGTTGTTGTTTTCTCCCCTTCTGCTGATTGTCACTGATACCAAATCCTTTGACTTTCAGTTGCACCAAAGTCACAGATTAATTGGCAGGATAAATACAAGTGGTATTTTACTTCTGTTCAGCTATTAATACAGGTCAGCTCAGGCTTAGTTCTCCTGTAAACATTGGTTACAAGGGCCCCCAACATGGTGCCATACATTGATCAGAAAGGTTCTGACTGCTACTTTCTTGGGGGGATTTAATAGTTGTTTTTTTTTTTTTTAAATTGTGTATGTTCACATGACACTACCATATATTTTCTGTCCATTTCTTTTTTTTTTTCCTCCCAGAACTAACTTGATACAATAAAATTTGAGCTCTATTTTTAATGTAAGGGGGAAAAAATCCAACTGTCAATCCAAATAGAAAAAGATAAGGAAAATATAAATGGGGGGAAGAAGGCATTTTATAATTCATTAATTCATATCAGTATCTCTAAATATATTTTTTATGAAAAAGAACTGAAAAATGTTAGATCAGAAACTAATAAGAAATCACACATTTTAAAAGATTTATCACTTGCTTTTTAGAGCTTTATTGACTATTACCTGTTTCAATATGTTTCAAATAATTAAATACTGCAACTGGGACATTAAAAATACAAACTAATTTACCAAAATAATTGTATTCTGAATATTATGTACAATATTATACATTTTACATTACATAAAAGGGTTTCTATACATAAAGGTAAGATTTGATTCATCATCATTGGAAATCCAAAATACATTTGAACAAAACATTCCTATGCATACATACACAATTGCTCAGCTGGGATAATCAAAACCATACATGAGTGTGGTTATTAAAAATAAAATTACATTCATATAATAGTGGTAGAAAATGAAATTTGTTTCTATTACTTTGAAAGTATTATTTTAAAAACCACACACATGAATTATATAACCTAGTTCTATACATTTAAAAAATATTTATGCTTGTAACTGAAATATGTTATTTCAGGGGAAGTTTTTGACTTTTAATTTCCTTATTTTATGGGATTTTTTATAATTCATAGTCATTAAACTAGCAAAAACCATGCTGGTGCCCAGCAAGTAGAAAAGCCACAAGGGCCTATCTTATCACTGTGTATATATTTCACCACATAATTTTGAAAAATAATCCTATGAAGTTGTACAGTTTGGTATGCCTTCATATTCATAATTGGCATCAAAGTGATTGCATATTGAGGCACAGAGCTTAAGGGAGAAATACATACTGTGGTGAGGAACTAGATACTGAAAGACAGATATCATTAGGTGACTTCAGAAAAAAATATCGTGAACAGGTGCTTATGTATAAAACAACACACACACACACATCAATTTTCTTTTTAGGCAAGTTTTGTCTTTCAAAATTGTGGATACAATGATGTGTCTGTTACACCTTGTTTGAACACTGAAATACCAAATTAAGTACATGATGCTGCCATACAAGTCTTAATAGCATCTCACTTTGAAGCTTGATTTCCCTCAAGCAGAACAGTTGTGATTTGAAGTAACACCAAACATTTTCTTAACTGATCTGAAATGCTTGAAAAATGGTACATTTACCCTGCAACAACAACAACAACAACAACAACAAATGGCTTTCCATTTTGAAATCTGTATGTCACTCTGTATAGAGCTCTCATTCCAGAGATACACAGTCTGGTGAAAACTCTACCAGAACTATACACAAGAGCCTCAGAAGAGCAGCAATCAGTAAAACTAGCCATTCGCCTTAGAGTTTACACAGCACTTTTGCAATAGGTCTTGTTTTTTCAATTCTGTATTATATGAAAGGCAAATGAAAGAACACCTGGAAACTAGAAGACAGGAAGGTAACAAGTTGAAACAAACACCAAAGCAGTGCTCTTTCCAACATCACAGATTTGAGAGAAATGAGAATCAGAGCCTAAGGTACGCTTTACTGTTTTTCTTCTTGGTCATGATTAGCCTGTATATAAAAGTTCTACCCTACGTTATCAAAATATATTCATATAAATGTATGAGCATTTCTAATACAAAAGTTAAAAAAAAGTCTAAATTCTTTATTTTTTGTAATTAAATATCCTAGAGTTCAGTAGGCAGATTCCGAAGCAGCTTGAAAAAAATTTGTTGGCCGAGCACTGTCCGGAAGTTGGGCACAGCTACATTTCAGCTCTTCGATGGGATTTCTCAGCAACGGCAGCCCCATCTTCCTCCTCTTCCTCCTCTTCCTCATAGTGTTCCTCTCTACCTTTGGGGCGGTTGTCCTCTCTAACTTCTTGCTCTTCTCCATCGTTGTTCTTATCATCAGCCTTAACATTAAAAGAAAAAAGAAAAACTAAGAAATAGGGAATAGAGCAAGTGATGGACAATTTCTCTCTAAAACAAACAAGGTGCGAATTCATTCAGTTTGGGAGAAAGGGAGGAAAAATGATCCTATAGGCAACAGTGCTACAGCCTCTCCTGATCGGCATGTGATCAGTCTCCTAATTCTAGGCCGACGTCTTCAATTCAGGGGCACCTTACAGGTATCCTCCACTGGTGTCTGTCCCAACTACACCTACATACCTCCTACCTAGTGCATGGGTGTACATACACACACTCATATATACTCAGTAGAAATATATTTTCCTGAACATACGTTTTCATCATTTTCACCATAGGTCTCCTCAGCATTACGCTCCAGTTCCCTTTTTTTCTCTTCAGTCAAATCTTCCTGAACCTAAAGCAAACCACAAAGAATATGTGATGCTTTCATCATTTCAACACCTAAAGCAACATGTTTTGATTTCCAAAAAGTTCATTTGAAATAGCAGGAACATAATTACACTAGAAGTAAATTTGAAAAAAAAATAAGTCAAAAGTCTGATTTGTCTATTAAGGATGAGGAAATATTCAATATACCTATCACGAAGATCAATGTGATAGATTCTCGGTCTGACCTTTTGTTTGAGTTTCTGATTTCTCTAAATAAGAGTTAACTCTTCAAGGATAACACCTGAAGAAATTCCAGCTTATAAAAGTCTAGGTCCCTCTTTGCAAAATGAGAGAACTGTGGAACTCTGAAAGCTCTGACAGAAAGTAAGTTGTATGAAGGCAGGAACCTTCTAATAGAATGCATGGTCTTCAGTAATCTGATGCACAAAAGGCACATTGAAATGCTTAATAAATATCATTGAGTGAGTTACTGAATAAACCAATGTAAAAACTATCCCCATAAAAGCACAAAAAAAGATACCACTGTCTATATTCAAAGTAATAGAAAATTGATGGGTCTGTTCTCTGGGCATATCAGTGACAGAACATGGGACACCGTGCCCTTGGTTCAGCTTTCTTTTTTTTTTTTATATTTCAATGTATTCCAATTTGAAAATAAGTTCACCCTTTTGGCTAATGGGGATGACATATAGAAGTCAGGTTCTCTTGAGATGCTTGAGTTATTCATGGACAAAAATTCTGATTCTCTTCATGTAATTTGTCAAATACTAATAAAAATGGCAAATATACCAAAAAAAAAAAAAAAAAAAGAACAAACCTGTCACGTTTAAATACCCAGAAAACAGAACACAATCATTTCAATTTCTGTATGAAGTAGTCTAATAAACTAGTTTAAATCCCTATCTCCATTTAGTGTTTTAACACAGCATCCGTTTTAAATAGTTTTCCTTTATGCATCCCACTATTACTGTTTCATTGATCCTAACTATTTATTCTCAAAATGCAAATCAAAGAAAGGATCTAAATTTTTACTGAATAATCTCTCTTTAATAACCATATCTCATAGAAATACAAGATAAAGTATTTTCTAACTTGCTAACTAGTTTGAAAACCACACATATACCAAAAGGTCTAGGTCATTCTAATTTTTTTTAAAAAAACTGCTGAATACAAGTTAGGCATAAAGTAGTGTCCTGGTACAGACCAGGATCATGGTATGGGTATAAAAGTCCTCTGGGGTAAAAAAAAAAAAAAAAATACATGTTTTTTGGGGAAGAGTTGAGTAGTGGTTGTTGAAAATCTGAGAAATGGGCAAGGGATGGAAAGTAAGCAGATACTATAATTAAGCAGGAGCAAATCAAGTGCTGCCTCAAGGTAGCTGGACTCCCAGCTCTTTGGATTCAGTGTGGACTTTCGGAAGCCTACAAAGGTGACTCTTCAAAGATGCCCTAGACAGAGCCAACTCTTCGTGAATCTCTTCTAATCAGCCCCCGGTACTGATTAGAAGACATTTGGCTAATGGGGATGACATATAGAAGTCATCCCCTAAATGAAACTGGTTTCAAATAATACAGTTTGAAGAAAGAGGCACAGAGCATCTCTATATTCACATTTCCTGATGAAGTAAGCTAGGGATACCCTTGTCTCACCCTATGGCTCAATCAGTAGTCCAATGACATCTCTTCTGCCATTTGTCACAGAACCTCATAGCAATGTCCCACAGGACATTGAAATGAAGACAATGAAGCACCTATTTCAGACTTCATTAAGGTCTAATTGAAACGTTAAATTGCTTAAGCGTCCTTGTCTATTTTGATGAACAAAGATGTCTTCTATGTGGGTAATAATGAAAGTTCAATTTGTGAACACTAAACATGGTGTAGTTGAGAGTAGGAAAGAACTGCCTCAAAATTATGCTGTATGGTGGAAAGAGTACATAAATCTGGGGCAGCGAAGTCCAGACAGTAATTATTTAGTCTTTCTGGGCCATAAGTTCTGTCACAACTGCACAACTCCACCAGTATAGTACAAAAACAGCTATAAACAAGGTGTCAACAAAGAGGCAAGGCTGTGCTCCATAAAACTTTATTTACAAAATAGGCTGCAGCCTGCATTTGCTACCTCCTAACATACTCTGTGAAGACAGACAGACCTGCACCAAAGCCTCAGTGGTAGAGTGCTTGCCTAGCAAGGGTGAGGCACTGGGTTCGATCCTTAGCACCATATAAAAATAAATGAATAAAAAAAAAAGGTATTGTGTCTATATACAACAATTTTAAAAAATAATAATTAAAAAACCCCCAGTAAGTTCAACTTTCTATTATGAAAATCTTCAAGCGCATGCAAATAATCATTCAATATAAGTTTTATAAATACTTCCAAGGCTCCAACTGTCTCAATATTGCCACACTTCCACAGTCTATCACTTTTCTATTTTTTCAATTATTTATTCTTAAGATTTCTAGATATCATGTAATTTTACCCTTACATGTCAAGGTATGCACCTTTAAAAGAAATGGACGCCTTTTTATACAAACATAATGCTAAAATCACATGATAAAGTCAATAATTCTGTGGCATCATCTGATGACACTCTTCTGATTGTCTCAATAATGCCTATTTACACTTGATTTGTTCTAATCATGATCCAAAGTCCACACATAACATGGGCTTCCCTCCATTATTTTTATCTTGATGCTATTGACTTGTTCTATAGAAGCACCCACATTTTGGATTCATTTGCTTCTGTATGGTATCACTTCACTCATTCCTCTAGTCCCCATATTTTCTATAAATCAAACTTAACTTGAATATGAGTTAGTCAGAATTCAAGATGCTGAATATTTCACATTTTCATCACATCAGGAAACACATAATGTCTGTCCTACTTTTAGTAAGGCTGAGGTTGGTCAGTGAGCTCACATGGTGACTGTCTGATCTGTCCCTGATAAAGTACGTTGTTTATATAGTAACATCATTGATGATTAATGATTAAATCAATGGCTTTAAATAGGGGTTACAAAGATACCAAGTTTCTAGTTTCATCCTTCTTTCTGCATCTACCAATTTAATACAGAACTCTCCCACATTAACTATACACTTATCATGCCTGGTGCACTTAAAAATGACATCCCTTGAAGTTAGACCTGCGGGGGGGGGGGGTGCGGCTTCAAGTACAATTCTAACAACAAAATAACAAGCTGTGGGACTTTGAAAAATTCAACTAACTTCTCTGAAGGTCAAAATATCTTATGTATAAAATAAAAGGGTTGGGTATAGGGTTTGAGAATCATAGTGATATGGGCAATGACCGAACAGACTCCATTTTACCCTGAGACCCCATATCATGTAAGAAATGCTTTTCCTGTGAGAAAGCCCCACCTCTGTACCCATTAATAGTTACCTAGCATAACATACTTGGCAACACAAAATAATAATTTTTATGCAATGTAAAATTGTTCTCTTTGCTTTCCATTTTTCTTGGGCAATGTACCTAGACGTTAGTAACCATTCTCTAACTTGTACTGAATTAGGGTCATTTTGACCCACTTCCATTCTGCTTGCTTGCTGCTATGCCAACCTGGAAAGTCCAGTGGAAAATACCAATGTATCCATTGCATTGTCTTGCTACTTGACCAATCCAGCTTCTGTATGTGTTTGCTTATAGCTACATCAACCCAGATATAGTTTTTGCCTTTAAATATCCTAAAATGCTCAGGCTTGGGGCTGTTCCTTGCAGAGACAGTTATGGGTCCTGCGGGGAGCAGTCGCTGGCTGGCTGGCTATATAAAGACTCTTCAATTTGGACAAAATTGGGACTTGGTATGTTTTCTGAGTGACCTGCCCCACAACAATAGATGCTTTTAAGACTGAAACGAAAAATGCTTTAGCAAATGTGCTTAGACACAGCATTCTGCATAAATGTTCAGGGGGTTACACTTCCCCAATTCCTCCACCATTGTCTGCCTCTAAATAAGGTGTTCCTGAAACATGAGCATCATCTTGTGGGTGGGGAAGGGACTTCTGAAGAACTGATTCCAAGCCCCACAACAGAGAAGATCCAAAATTTCCTAGAGCAGGGTTTAATCCAGGGATTTGTATTTTTCACAAACTCTTCACTATGATTCTTGGGTTAGGCACCATAGCATACACCTATAATCCCAGCAGCAGCTCAGGAGCCTGAGGCAGGAGGATGGTGAGTTCAAAGCCAGCCTCAGCAATTTAGCAAGGTCCTAAGCAACTTAGCAAGATCCTGTCTCAAAATAAAAAAGTTAAAAAGACGGGATGTGGCTCAGTGGTAAAGCAATTCTGGGTTCAAACCTTGGTACCAAAAAAAAAAAAAAAAAGGTGGTTCTTGGTCATAGTAAAAGAGAACTATTTCCTTAAGATGCTGGGTTAAGAATGTCTCCAGCTTGGGGAATAATCTTCCTTCTCTGAAGCCTGTTTTCTCATTCTCGGCACCTATTATAAAACACTTAGCCTGTTTACCAGTTATCAGTATATTCTTGAGAACCACTGATTTAATTTACTCTTTAATTTAGGGAATCCATCCACAAATGAACACTGTAATTTTCCAGCCATATACAAGTATATAAAAACAGAGTCTTATATTCACATTATTTTAATAAGATATTCTAAATGTTTGGGGTAAAAGTAATTCAAACTCATCTTAAAGGCATCACTGAAAAGAATGGCGTGGCATTTCTAATTGACCTTTAAAATACCCTTTGACAAAACCAGAGGCACCCTGTGTTACTGTCTGATAGCGTAGATGCAGCAATGACGTCTGCTATACCGAACCCTCTTTAGAATCCTGATGAGGCTGAGGCAGCGACTCTGTTGAAGATTTCCCATAGGGGTCCTCATTACTCATGTTCCTCCACTGGAATCTAACGTTTTAGACATTTGAGAAATGAACCTTATGTGATAAGGAAAAGTTTAGTAAATGGCCAAAACAAAACAAACCAAATCACTAAATCTAAAATGTGCTTTCACTAGTTACTGGGTCCCGGCCAAGTGTGCTGACACCTTTGTTTACACACAGAAGACACTGTGGGATGAGCCAGGCACTAGCTGGCTAAATTCTGAGCAGTCAAGAATGCTAGGATCCAATGAGGCAGGCAGCATGTGACAAGGAAGTCTTTGGCAAAGTCGGCTAGAATGAAGGACACCACTGCCTGAGAGGCCATGCTAAATGGAAGAGTTTCCACCCATCAGAAGCTTCTTAACTTAGGGAGTCCCAGGCCATGGTCTGGGTTGGTACATATACATAGCTGGTCACTGAAGGTGAGCAAATAACTTTGGACTTGCTCTTTCCTGAGTGTTCAGATTAATCTGTTTTCTGCTACGTTTGAGCAATGAAAGCATTCCAAGTTTTCAAGCATTCACTCTATCTATATACATATCTGTATGTATTTTAGCATTCAGATAATTCTGAAGTATAACACAGCACTTTTTGCCTATGTGATAACTTGTCCTATTTGCTGAAAAGTAGATAAAATATACAGGATGTAAGCAGTATGAAGAGAACATTATGGTGGGTATGCCCTTTACCCTGACATCAAACAAATAAATCAGGATTGCTGGTCAATAATCATAATTTTTATGTCTTAGACAATGCTGCTGCACTAAGATTTAAATACCAACAACAACAACAAAAAAGAAACAAAAACAAACAAGGATAGTGCAAATTTCCTAAAAGCACACTTGTTTTGGGTGATCTACTCATCGTTCAGATTTGTGAGTCTGATGGCTCCTCCTCTGAACAGGTTTCCCACTGGCAAGATACAGTTCCTCCTGAGGAGCAAATGCTGGCAGCTAGAGTTTGGCTGCAGGCTGGGAGGGAAGGAAACTGAAGGCCGCTGCAGCCCTACAGCCCTTTGGCCAGGTTTACTGGAGATGAGAACCATGCAGTCACTCAGCATTAAATGGCTTTCAAAGTGCTTCCGAAAATTTTGTCCCAGATTCACATACAATTATAAACAATACCATGGGTGCTTCTAATTCATTTTTCTCATTTTAACCACAGTTTGCTGAGTGCTTCAGCTATGAATTATCACTAGGGCTCAAATGGTATTTGGCAACCATCTTTCTCTCCCCTCTACAGAATATGACCTAGGAATGATGGAAAGATGCAAAAACTAATCATGTCAGGAAAGACCAGAAAACATACAACTCCTCCTGAACAAGGGATGTTCAGGGGACAGGAGGAAAATGACACTGGGAAGTAGAAAGGTTCACAGGGCCTCCTTGGAACATTCACCTGGGAATAGTCTTGAATGAAGGGTGGCAACCTGCAGCCTATGCAAGAAGGCTTAGAAAGCTGGGACAAACACTATTATAAGAATTCTGGGCAAGGAATAAACAAAGCAAAAGAATTAGAACCTGGGGCTGGTGCAACAAGAGGAAAACAGCCCTGTCAATTTGGCCGACCTGGCGGGAGGGGCTGCTGAACCTCTGGGTGCACAGCCTCCTTTGCCTTGTCACCCTCTCCTGCCCCTTGCCTTGGTGATTCCTGTTTTTCTGCCCTGCTCCCTACCGGATCTCCGGATTTCTCTCTTCCACCTTACCTGATCATAATACAAAAGTGAAAAAGAATCAGTAAATACTGATTAAATTTTTATGTTTACCCTTCTGAATTTTTAAAAAGAAGTCAAGGTGAACCCTTTTCTCTCTTAATCCCTCAAAGATTCCTGGTATCTGACATCATGAAACAAAGTAATATTAGTCTAGACATCCTGTTACCAGAGAAGCCCAGATGAATATCTTCTTCTTGCTAAATGTCTTAATATTCAAGGCTGTGGCTTCTCTAATGCTCTCTTTCTGATAAGACAGCTCAGAGTCTTGATTAAGATGAACAGCAGGATGATAAAAGATAGAGAATAGAAAGATCAAGCCTGTTAGACAGAACATAACTTGAGATGTTGCCACTGGCCATTAAAGGGCAACACTCTTTTCTGTTTTCCTGGCATCAGCACAGATTTTAGCATTAGTTCCGTGAAGCTGCAAATAGCAGTAAAAATAAGAACGCAGACCCAGGCCAGGGAACTGAGTGCATGCTGAGCACATGCTTCCTGAACAGGATGTCCAGTGGTGGGCGTGTTTCTTCAGTGGGTCATGGTCAACCTCCCCAGAGGTTCCCTTAGGGATAAAGCCATGCATTTGCAAGACACCTGGCTGATGAGTGGCTCTGAACCAGGCATTTCATCCAGGAATTACTTACTGGTCCTGAGTGAGACTAAACGTGGGGTCAAGGCCTGATTCATATCATGTTCCATCATATTCCCAAGTACTGCAAGTGTCCAGGTAGGAGAAAGCCATGGCAAAAAAGGCTGCAGCAAATAGCCTTCGCCAGTTGATTGAGCACAGGAATGTGGCATCACCATAGATGCTAACTAATGATAATATGCCAGATGCTTACAAGCTAAAATTAAGTTATTAAGAAATCCTACCTAAAAGCATTTTATTCAAAACAGTTCCAATACTTCCCCTTCTCTTCACTGTTTTTGTGGTGCTGGAAATTGAATCCAGGCCCCCATGTATACCAGGTAAGTATTCTGTCACGGAGAACAGTGACAAATGCTCCTCCATGTCTGCTCCTCACTTGTTCAGCTTCCTCAAGGTCTGGTTGCCTTCCCAGACCTTGTTTTGGTTGAACTTAATTAAGATGCTAAAGGTCTTATGAGGGAAGGGGTCAGAGGGAAAGATTATAAAACTAATAAAAATGTCTGGCAGGTGTTAACATGGATTCCAGCTGACATTGCGGGGTATCCCTGTGAGGCAGACTCAGGGGACATGTGCCCAGAGAAAGTGACAGGGTCAATCCATACTCCCTCAAAGGTGCAGAGCTTTGTGCTCTCATTTGTGATGGAAAGAGACATGAGAAAATGTTCTCATGAAGATCACATAAATCTGTCTGCCGTTCCTAGAAAGTCGGCTTTATTTGAAATTTCTGAATCAAAAGTCTCCACTGCCATGGTTCATTTCCTCTTAAGCCACCCTTTCGTACCCTGCCTAAGTCTCTCTGAACATTTCTCTGGAAGGAATGTCAGAGTCAATACTGCCAGGGTTTGTTTACGGTTGGTGTGACAGACCAAACAACTGGATCAGCCTCCTGCATTCAATCTTCCTACCTCCTCCTCTCCCTCTTCCTGGTACTGTTCATCAACATTATCCTCCTGCTGGTCTGGATTTCCTGCCATCTGTTGAAACAAAAGGGGAGGCTCATGTTACTGTACATTGGAGATGCCTTGTATAATACTTGGGGACAAAGAAGAAGCATGCCACCATGAACAGTGCACTCACAATGCACTGGTGGCCAGGAAATGATGAATAATCATTGCTAACACAAAGCACAGGGTGTCTGTTACCCTGAGTGCAGGCATGTCTTTTCACATAATGACCTCGAAACCACTAGAGTGGCAAACCTTCTCTCAGTGCAGATTAGGACTAACCTTTCACATAAACCAGGCATTTATTAAAGTGCTCCGGTTAAATCTACCCTTGGTAGTGGCATCTGCTTACCACCAAATGCTCCTCCATGTCTGCGTTCTCTGGCTTTCGATCGCTTTGTTTTGGCTCTTCGTTTTCATCTGGCAGATTTTCTTCTCTCACTTGTTCGGCTTCCTCAAATTCATCTTCGCCTTGATTATTGGGGTCATCTGCTGGGTTTATATCCTCTACAGCTGCCCGCTGTAAAATTTTAATAAAAACCAACCGCCACTTCAAAACAGAGGATCAAGTTTAATTTCATTTGAAAGGCCACACACTGGCAGAAAATGAAATAACCCTTCACTGCATCGTTCATCCCTGTCCCTGCCAGCGCTCACAAGTACCAAGCACCCCACTGTCACAAGGTAGAACTCCTGCTTCACTTGTGAGAGGCTGAGGAATCAGAAGGAAGGATAAACGGTGCTTCCTTTCTGCCAAGTAATTCCAACAGTCTTCCAACCGCTAGCAAACCAAGAAATGTGAACAAAACTACACAGACAACCAGCAAAACAGCTAATAAGTTGGAAAACCAAGTGGGAGGAAAACAAATCAATGCTAATGTATACCGAAGACTTAGATAGGTGAAGTGGTAATTCTTTTCATGGTGATGTTGATTTTTATACAAATCTCCCTTTTATGCGATTTTAAACATGTAAGTAAGTGCAAAGCAGCTGATGGGAAGGAAGATCTCTATCTCTGAGAAGACCCAAGCCAAAAAAAGGACTAACTCTACAGAAAATGGTATATTTGTAGTGTGGACCATGTTCCTTCCTTCCTTCTTTCTCATTCATTCATTCATTCATTTTTTATATTTTTGGTAGTGGGGATCGAACCCTAGGGTGCTCTACTACTGAGCTATATATCCCCAGCCCTTTTCATCTTGTATTTTGAGACAGGTTCTCACCAAGTTGCCAAGGGTGACCTCAACCTTGTGATCCTCCTGCCTCAGCTCCCTAAATCATTGGGATTACAGGTGTGCTCCACAGCACCTGGCTGAACTATTTCTTCCTTAAGAAACACCACTATGAAACTGAGAGAGACTACACTGGCAAGGGATAGGAGAAAATCTTTGGCAACATATTACAAAAAAATATACCTCCAGACCCACCTTTGAGTGGTTCTCAGTTACTGTGGGATAACAAATGTCCTTCAAACAATCAACTTTAGAATTATTTCAATTTCCCACTTAAGTTCCCAAGGCACCTTCCAAATAACACACATCATAACAAAAATTCAGCTTTTAGGAACAGAGAAGGGCAGAAATGGTGATGTTTGCTGTGAGCGTCCCCAATCCCTCCCAGGTCATCTATGGGACACTTACTGAAGTGGCAATTGCTTTGGAGAGACACTGAAGCTACGCAGTAAGATTCAGTCTCTCCTGGTGTTCTCCAGACAAGATTGTACTTCACTTTGCTGAAGAACCCTGAACATGCTCAAGAGCTCATTGCTCTCAGCTGATCTATTATCTGTACACCCCTGGCCGTAAACTTCATTCAAGTGCAAATAACACTCTTCTCAGGAATACAGTGACAAATCCTCACCTTTACACTAATTTCTAATTACTCCATAAGCTCCTGTCATACAGATTTCCTTCATTGTTGGCAATAATCTGTATGGGAACAGAGGAAAAGAACAGCACCCTCTCTTCAGGAAAAAAAAAAAAAAACACTAAGTATGTCTTGCTATAGTTCTTAAAAATGTGCACAATGGTTCTAAGACTGACCAAGTAATAAGTGAGGGCTCACAGGCACAAACAGTTATATTCAAATAAAACAGCTAAGACAAAGAGGGACAAATGGGCTGACAACTTCTAATTAAAAGAAGGCATGACAGAAAGACCAGTGTTCCCCATATGTCTCCAAAATGTGGAGAGATAAGAAGAGTAAAGGGTCACTGGCAAGTAGTCAGCCTCCAGCCACTCCCAGCAAAGTGACTGTCCTTCACTCTCCATGCACACTTGCTTCCTTGCTCTCGTGGGACAGCCTCTCACTCTCTCATTCTCTAACCCTTGCTCTATCATGACAGTATTTCAGGGCTGTGTCCCTGCTGCATGCTTTCCTATATACCAGTGAGGGTACAGCAGAAAAACCTGCTCTGTGAGTCAAGTGGAAAAGCCATTTCCATAAAAGGGCTGAAAGTGGCCAGCAGAAGGACTCTCTCTGTGATTATCAAGGAAGGACATGGATCTTCTTTTCAATTCCCTGGATCAATATAAACTGGATCCACATGGCAGTAGGGATTGAATATTATAAGCACAGGGGGTTGCTTTACTAGAACAAAAGATGATAGCAGCAAAAGGTAATGAGAAGCCAGGAGCAGTGGTGCATGCCTATAATTCCAGAAGCTCAGGACACTAAGGCAGAAGGATCACACAGTTCAAGGCCAACCTCAGCAACTTAGTGAGGACCTAAGCAACTTAGTGAGACTCTGTCTCAAAATCAAATACAAAAAGAGCTGGGGATGCGGCTCAGTGATCAAGAGCTTTTGGGTCCAATCCCTAAGAACAACAACAACAAAAAAGGTGATAGAAAATTAAAATAAGTTGTGAACGTCATCTACACACAACACATGATCACTCACTGAATGTTGGCTTACCCCCCTTATGAGCAAGGTCAAAGCCCTAGACAACCCAAGTGAATCAGGGGTCTCATTCCTTTTTTGGAAAACACAGAATAATGCCAGTTATTAGATGTCTACTTAAATGTTCTCCTCCCTTGTGGTACTCGAGCACTTCTTTTCATGAGTGAAACCACATATTTCACCAACATATTTATTAAAATGGCCCCTGGACTGTTGGGAGGTGACAGAGTCACATGCCACATACCCTGGCAGGCCACTGGACAGGCTCAGGAAAGGGTAAATTCTCTAACTTCCTTGTTGGCCTGCCCCGTCCCCTCCATCTTTCAGTGTTACCTCATATTTCAATGCCTCTAAATTTTACTTTTCTAGGTTTTAATTTTATTAAGTTAAAAAGTGTCAAAGGGAAAAACTTTCAACATTATTTTTTCCCAAAACAGCCTTTAACCCCGTCTCATCTCACACCCCCTACATCCTGGTTGAGGGTGAACTATGCTGCTTATAGGTAATTATTCAAAGCCCTCTGTGTGCTGATGAAATGACATGCACATCTGGGGCTGGACACCAGAGTCAGACAAATGCTTAAGGTTTCTTTCTGCCTGTGCGTTTCCAAGTGGCAGATCCAGGGGTGAGGATACTTACATCTGCCTCTGATTCCGGGTCAGCTTCGGGGGGCCCTTGTCCGTGAGGCTCCTGTCCATTTCCTGGGTCTCCTTCTGCTTCATCTTGGTGCTGGTTGTCTCTTTCATAGGCTAGCAAATCAAAGGAACTACAATCAGCTGAAAGAATCAAGCAGGATTCCTCCCTTTCAACTCAAAGGAGAGCCTCCAGGAGGCCTCTGGAGACCGAGTCCAAGTCACCCACTCTTTCCCATGCCTCGGTTAACTCAACAGCTTTCTTGCGTAGTTTTGTCCTTTTCCCAGACTGTGTCTAAGAGGTTGGGTGGGGGTGCGGGGGGAAGTGTCGCTGTTCTAATTTCCCAAAGCTATTTTTTTTTAATTTGTTCTAATCAGTTACACACGACAGCAGAATGTTTCTAACAAGCTGCATTTCCCCCTTCGGCAGGAAAAGGACCACAAATCAAACTTCCTTCATAAAAGAAAAGTCCAGACCATTGGACATTGCTAAAATAATCAATTAATTTTTGGATAATATTAAAGGTAATGGCAAATTTCCAGTGAAGGTACACTGGGGGGTGTCATTAGGAAATGAAAGACAAAATAATCTCAATTGTGTAATTCAAAAACAAACAGAGCCTGTCATGGATGCTACTATGGCAACAAGGATACCACAACAATACAGGCCATCACACGGTTATGCTCACACATAAAACTGGAAAGTTTTTTAAAAAATACTTAGATGAAGAGAATTTTAAGAGCACACAGGAGAAGAGCGAATCACTTTTTTAAAGTCAGATACAAGAGGAAAGGTTTAAGAGTATGGAGAGCATTTAATTTAATATAAAGACAAAGAGTAGCTCACTATTAGGCTACAAGTTCATAAAGGGGTTAATTAAATAAAGAAGGGGAAAAACTGTTGCTCAACAGTTTTACTGATAACAGAAACAAAAAGCTCAAAGTCACCACAGGGGACAAAAGGGAATAGGCTCTTCACTCTCAGGGCAACCAACTTCACAACAAGCTGTTGAGGGAGGTGTTGTCATCTTACTTTAGACTCTCTCTAGAAAAGGAGAGTTGCCTTCCAATTCTATCATCACAGCAAGGAATGCATGACTAGGCGCTTATCATGAGAGAAAGCCATTGCTGATTTAATCTGAAAAAGTTTTAAGGCAATGATGTAAAGACTTCCAAGGTCAGGAGAAAATGTAGAATTTCTCAAAGCATAATAATCCTGTGATAATTTGTCAGAAATAACTATTTGATATGCAAGAAGCTTAAATGATGGGGAGAATAGTGGAGACAAGAGAGATTATCTTGACCAGTTCTCTTTTCTTTTTGTGGTACTGCAGATCAAACTCAGGACAACTATGGAGCACTATGGCAAGGATTAAGACTCAAGAAGTGACAACAGAGGCATGACTTCTTTGACCTCACTCAAGTATGCATTTGGCTTGTTGATGTTAGGGAACACTGGCTCACTGATACTGTTTGATATAACCAGGTAATGTTATTAAAACATTCATCATCTGAGAAGTCTTACCACCTCCTTCCTCTTCCTGGATTCCCTGGTCCTCTGCTCCCTGAACGATATCATTATCCATAGCATTATAATGAGCTTGCTGCCTGCCCGGGACACAAACATTATATATTCAGAGATACAAATTAAGTGGCACAGTTTGACACAAGTCATTTATCTTTTAAGGTAGTAATAAACAAGATTTCTCAACATCTTTTAAAAAGCCATAAATTCTTTTTTTTAACTTTTAGGTACATGATAAAGTATGATGAAAGTTCTAGATATGCTTCCAACAGATACATTAAAAAGGTAAAGCACCGTTCAATGATAAAATTAAAAGGTTAGCACAAAGTCTTCTAAGCTACTTTGAGACTTACTCTATCGCTTTAGAGAAGAAAAAAAGAAAACCTGATTATTTTTAAAATTAAAGATTTGCCCTTTAATTCTCAATTCTCAGCTCTTCCTGGACTGCATGAGCAACATGAGCCCCTCCTGTTCCTGGATCACAAATACACAAAACTGCTTGCAGTGGGAGAGGGGCTTCTATGCCCATCGAGAGAAGGGGCAGGCTACCGTAGCTGCTCCTGGCGCCGCTGCTGGTCTTCCTCCTGCTGGTCTTGCCTCTGCTGGGCCATCTCCTGGGCCAGAAGCTGCTGCTGCTGCTGCTGCCGTAACAAGTGTCCCTGCAGCCTCTGCTGGTGCAAAGCTTCCTGGTGTTCTCGCAGCCGCTGGGCCTCCTCATCCCTCCTTGCCGCCAATCTCTGCTGTTCCAACTGCTCCTCATATGGGGACCGGGCCCTGGTGCCCGGCTTGGCTGAAGGGTATACCTGGGGCAAAGACAGTTGATGCTGAACAAGAGGGCTCGGCTCCCCAGGGGTTTCTCTCCCTTTGTTCCCATGACAAACTCAGGAGACAGGCTGGTTTATTAACCTATTTGTCACATGAACTGTGATTATAAATAAAGCCCAGAAACTCCTATTTTCCTGCTATCTCTGAATTGCCCTTGGCTTTGTCTAGTGACTGTTCTTCCCAATTTGCTGGCACTAAGGCAGACTTTCAATATGCTCCCTGATCAAATGGAGCACAGGGCACAACACAAGAAATCAGTTTTGGACCATAATTAAATTTGTATTTACAAGGCTCTGACGCAAGCAGGCACGTGGTAACCTCACACTAATTGGGCAATATGTGAAGCTAAGGGTTTCTCCATGAAGAGTTAAAAGATCTAGGGATACTAACTTCAGCAATGTATATGCCCATCACAGGCTAAGCACAGCCAAAATAATAATGTCAAATTCCAGATTACTGTGAAAAAGCAGGAACTGAGTTCCTTCAAAGAAACTAAGAATAGGTGAAGAGACAGTATTGTCTGATTAAAGAAAAATCAGATCCAGCAATTTTTTTTTTTCTTTTGGTACCAGGGATTAAACCCAGGGATGCTTAGCTACTGAGCCACATCTCCAGCCTTTTTAAATATTTTATTTAGAGACAGAGTCTTACTGAGTTGCTTAGGGACTCTCTAAGTTGCTAAGGCTGGCTTTAAACTCTTGATCCTCCTGCTTCAGCCTCCCCAGCTGGTTGTATTACAGGCACATGCAACTGCACCTGGCAGATTCAGCAATATTTAAAACTCCACTTCCATCAAGTTTTTCCTCATCTTCCCCTCCCCTCCTTGACTAACATAAAAACAAAATCTCTGCTACAGAAAGAAAGCAAAGTATGGAGGGGAACTGAACCAAGTGGAGAACTCTTACGGAAGGGCATAAAGTGGCAGAGCTTCTCAGGCTAAGGTGGCACTTACAAAGGCTGCCACACCTACCCAGTCTGAAGCCTCAGGAAGCCTCAAGTTTCAGCCTGAAGCTTCAGAGTTATAAACAGGTGATCAGCTGGGTACAACGGTGACCACTATCACAGAGGCTTGGGAGGCTGAGGCAGGAGGATCACGAGTTCAAACCCAGCCCAGCAACCTGGCAAGGCCCTGTTTCAAAATAAAAATAAAAAGGGCTTGGGATGTGGCTCAGTGGTTAAGAGCCCCAGCCTTCAATCCCTGGTACAAAACGAAAACAAAAGAATACACAGGTAATTACATCCAGGTAAAGGCCAGAGGCCCTGTGGCTGGATATCAGTGTAGAGCTAGCAGAAGAAAGGTACCTAGTTGCCCTCAGTGTGGATAGATTTCAAGTTCTTTTAAAGTTTTACTTACAATAATGGCTGTTTTATTAAGAAAGGGAAAAGTGTACTTATGTAGAAGAGTGTGGGCAGGAAGCAGGGTCTCAGCAAAAACTTGTTCAACACACTCACCTAGTGCACTGTCCCTAAGTGTTAAAGCAGCTTGTCACAGAAGCTTTTTGATTCATCCTTGACAGAGAACAGGCAAAAGCCAACTCACCAACTGGCGAAACTAAACAGAAGGAGGGGGACTATGGATCACAGAAAAATGAAGCCTTTGTCTGCCTCAAGCTGCTCAAGACAGGACTTGACCCCATCTTGGGAAAGTGTCCATCAGGTGGTCCCGTATCCACCCTGTCGATAATGTGAGGATGAGTCTCTTACTTGCACCACTGACAACAAGGACACATCTACACACCAGCATCAACTGCTCCTGTCACCAGCCATCTTTCTGAGCTAGGTAAGAGCTGTGCTATTAATATTACAAGACAACTTAAATATGTACACATGATGGTTAGTGAAATCACCTATTTTTGTAGAGATTTTTCTTTTTTTATACATATATATTTTTTAAAAATTCTTTCTGTACTTGTAGATGGGCAGAATGCCTTTATTTTATTTATTTTTATGTGTTGCTGAGGATCATACCCAGTGCCTTAGGCATGCTAGGCAAGTGCTCTGCCACTGAGCTACAGCCCCAGTCTGGCCCTTTTTTTAAAAAAAAAAAAGCCTTAAGATCCACTTTATTTTTGTTCCCCATCCCAGTGGACGTGGGTGGGTGACCACACACCTCAGCCTGAGCGTGCCCCTCCAGGAGGTTGGCAGCCTGATTTCGTTCCTGCTGTTCTTTCCACTCTCGGTCCTGCTCCTCTGGTGAGGGATCATGTTCTTCCTCCAGACGTTCTGCCTGCCCAACCTGCTCCATCTCCTCCTCTTCCAGGGCTTTTCTGTGCTCCTCTTCCACCTGATGTGCCTCTGGCTCTGGGGGTACCACTTGTTGGTTAGGCTGGGCCACAGTCTGAAAATGTGCCTCTTTCTGGGTGGGAAAATAAGGTTTTGCGTCTTCTGTTCTTCTCGGCATTGCTTCATGTTTCTGCCATACATTGCTGTATCGAGACACCTAGGCAAGCAAACCATAGGAAATGTTGCTCGTCCTTTTCAAAAGCAGTGATATCATTCATTAGCATGTCCTTGGAGGTACAACATAAGAAAAATTCTGGAGTCTTGAAAAATATACATAGTCTCCTGACTTAAAAAGATAGGAGCAATGGAGCTACTTAAATTCCACTGTATAATTTCACCTATAAAATGGAGAGAATACGGGCAAACTTTCATCTCAAAAGAATATAGTCAATAACCAGGGCAGTGAATCCTCTAAGTAGCCACATCTCAGAAGTAAACCTTTCCCAAAAAAGCAACCTAACTCTCCTACTTTCCCTCAGAATAAAAAAGGAAAAAACCTTGAACTTGAAGTGATGAAATGTTTGCACAATTTTTTCAATGTAAATTTAATTTGCAATTAATTACTTGAAAAGAGAAGAATAAAGATGCAAATGAAGAGGAATTGGGTTTATTTTTTATTAGTTTGGTTTACTGGTAATTAAAAGAGATCACCATTACTAATGGATATCTCTGTTGTTTTAAAAATGCCTGTTAAACAAGATACAATAAAATATTCTTAATATTTTTAATGCATTTAAAAAAATTGTAACCACAAAGGGTCTTTTGTACATATTTTGTATTGTCAACATAGAAAAATCAGAATAGAAAGAAATAAAAATAAATCTTTTTTTTTTTTAAGAATACTTCTCACTGATTGGTTCAAATCAGTTTTTACTTTAACTTTCAGACATCTCTATGTGATCCGAGTTACAGGAAGCTGTGGGGAAAGTGATACAGCATTGATAGCAGAGTATGTCATGCCCTTTACCCTCAATCTTTTTCATCAGGAAATAAATAACTTCTTCAAGTGAGATTACTCTCTCAAATTGAAATAATTGTGAAAACACTATTCACAGACAAGCAGAGATATAATTACCAAGCTTGAGAAGCTGGGCTACATAAATAACACACAGGAGAGAAAAACCCTTTCTTAGGCAACTTTCATAGGTGTACATTTTACCAAGGCCCTCAACTATCTGGAAAGTTTGACATAACACTGCCCTGGCTTTATTGCAAATACTTCTCTCAAGGGCTCTAAGTTCTCTGAAATACCTGTCATTTATCTTTGCAATATCCCTGTGAAGGAGGTTAGAGCAAATAACTACCATCTCCAATGCACAGATGGACAAACTAAAACTCTGAAGCATCAGAAGATGAATCCAGTAAACTAGAACAGAATCACACTAGGAAAGAACAGAATCAAATGCCAGGCCAGTGATCTGGCCACACTCTCTTAAGTTAGCAGCTAACATAGGGTCCAGGGAGAGAGAACGAGAATCATGAGGACACTGAGCCTGCCTGTTAACCAGTCACATCAACTCCATTATTTCCACAAGCAGGAAGGTCTTCTCAAACATTTATTGTTGAAAATAACTTTGTCAGGGGGAAGATAACAATATTTCTCATTTTTCATTAAATACATGATTGAAAAACAACTATGTAAGAATTAATGATAAAGAGGACAATACTTTTGATGTTCCCCTTATGAAATATTCTTAATCCAGGTTTAATTTTCATGAAAAATAAGAATAAAGTGCATTATGGGACTAGCACTCATACACCAGGCAGTGTTTTAATGCAAATTTTGACCAGCTTTGTATGGACCCAGTACTGCACTAAAGTCAAATATATTAACTTTAATACCTGGGTGGGCTGTCACATAATATCCTCATGATCATTTGACCTTCTCACACTATCTTAAAGAGGGAAAAATATCCACTGACCTTGAAAAACTCAGACACTACAATTCCTTTAAGACAAATCCACATGAAAAAGACAAAGCCAGGAAAATCTTTTCCAGAAAACACTACAATAACAGCTCTCAAACTTCTCTCCAGACCAGCTGAATCTGAATTAGAAATGCAAATCCTCAGGCCTCACCCCAAAATAACTCAATTTGTAAGTTAAGGAAACTGTGGGGCTGAGGCTCAGCAGTCTGAGCTTTAATAATCCCTATGGAGGATTCTGATATACACTAAAACTTCTCTGAACACTTCTCTGTAGTGGGCAATATTGAGAGTGGTTCACCCCGTGACAGCCTGACAAGGAAAGTGATCTAGTTATCACCAGTTTTGCCTCTCACCTCTTGTGGCTCTCTGGTTGGCTGCTCCCTTGCTGCATTGTAACCTCGTGGAGAACGTGCCACCTGGGTAAGGGTAGCATTCTGCGGCTCTGCTATGTCAGGATTTCGAAAGCTTGGGATCCTATTCAGAGTATCTTTCAGTTGCTTATATTCTGCAACTTGAGTCTGCATATAAATTGCACAATTGAATGTAAATTGCACAATTTGAGGAGGGAAAAAAATATCAATCATAGATGAGCATTTAGGTTCACTGGAGGACTAGACAAAAATATTATACCTAAATACAAATATGTGGATTATTTTCATGCATTACTATTCTTCCTTAGACATGCTTAACCATTTTTGAGCACATGCAAATTAGAGTTAAAGGAAACAGAAAAAGTATTCAAGACAAATGTTAGTTTTATGCTACATGAAACAAAGAGAGAACTTCTGTAAATAACTTTCCTCTATAATTATGAAAAGTAAGACAGCTATGCAATCCAAGTTTTATCACATTCAAACATCTATTAAAAATCGACAGTTATACAAATACAGGTGCAGATATCTTTTACCAATATGGTATGAGTAACATTTTTCAGTGAAAAGAAATATATGCATGTATATGTGTGTGTAACATAATTGTTCAAGCAAGCTTCTCTCACTACCCAAGTTGCTAGTTAGTTTGGGCTCAAACAGGGTTCCTGCCTTGCTAAAACACTTCTGATGCTGTGTTCTGTTTTTGTTTGTTTGTTTTGTTTTTGAAAGCAGAGAGAAATAGGCAAGAAATAGAGCTGGATTTTTGTTCCTCAATTCTGAACGTCCTTTTCTTTCAAAGTGACAAAGGTAGTGATGCAGCTATAGGATAGAACTGGAATACACTCATATAGGAGAATCTGTGTGATTTATGCTGTGGGAATTGTTGGGGGGATACATGTGCGTGTGTTTGTAATGTTTTTAATACTAGGAGCTGGAAAGGTAGAAAATAAATCAACAGACACTGTGTATATATAACTCATCATATATATCCACTTTGTTATCATGCAAGCAGAAATGCTGTGTGTGTAAACACGCACTGACATAAACACATACAAAGAACACAGAAATCTTAAACAAAATCCCCAGGCAAGGCTGCTTCCCTCATTGGAGAGTGCAGAGCAGATACATGGAGCCATGGCCAGCCAGGCCTCTGTGGCCACAACCCTGCACACACTACCCACAGTTTTCTTCCCCTAGGAAGAGGTGTCTTTCTGCTTTTTTGAAAACTTAAAAGTAAAGAAGTTAGCTTGCTAAATCTATGTCAAAGGAGCACCATCATAAAATCTGTATAGCAGTGCACCACTACCTGGCCGGTGGAAATCCCTGGGGTCTCACCCTAGAAATGATGATTTGAAGGGGCTGATGGGGGTTGGGGGTCTCACTTCAATACCAGGAAGACCTGAGCTTCAAGTCTGACTCCTGGTCACTAATCTTGGGTCAGCCACTTGGCTTCCCTTTTGGCCTCAGTTTTTTAGTTATAAAATGTTATATGCCTCACTAGATTATGAAGAATAAATAAAATTCTTTTTTTAATATTTTTTAGTTTTAGTTGAACACATATCTTTGTTTTCTTTTATGTGGTGCTGAGGATCGAACCTAGAACCTAGTGCCTCACGCATGCCAGGAGAGGCCACATCCGGAGCCCCTAAAATTCTTAACTATACTTTAAAATCAAGTTATCAAGACAGAATCTCCTAAGATGATTTACATGAGAAATGCACATGTCTGAAACAGTATATTTCTGCCCCACTCTGAAGAGATTTGAGGAAAGTTCTAACATGGTTATGGACTGATTCTTTGTATCTTTCCAAAATGCACATACTGAAATCCTAACCCCACATGTGAGGGTATCAGAAGGTGGGGATTTTGGAAGGCAATTAGGTCATGAGGACAGAGCCCTCACCATTGGATCAGTGCCTATGATAGGGTTTCTGATAGCTTTTTCTGTCTCTTTCTGCTTTGTGAGGATGCACAGAGAAGTCAAGTGTCTACAACCTGGAAGATGACTTCATAAGAACTGATCATGCTGGCATCCTCACCTAGGACTTCCAGCCTCCAGAACTATGAGAAATAAATTTATGTTGTTTATAAGCCACAGTCTATGGTGTTTCATGGCAACAGCTCAAACTAAGACATATGGCTTTAATTTAACTATTGTACCTAGTTATATAACTATTTAAAAAAGAATAGGAAAAACTTGGAGCACCCTCCCAACAAAGGAAAATAGACAACTACACATAAAATATTGCTTCTCTTACAAAAAATACAAAGTTAATACGGACAGTGTATATATTATAGAATTTGTTTTTGGCTATTAAATCAACCGTTTCACTTATATTTGCATAGATTTTCAGATTGTGGCTTAGTCTAATATTTTACACACAGTGTTCAAATCTGTTTGCCACATTTTACAGTATAAAGAACTGCTTCACATAAAATAACACTTGATAAAAGTTTACAAAGAAGGCTTGGAAAGAAATAATCTCCTCTAAAGTCAATTTATATTTACATACATGTTAAAAATTACCACACAGCAACAGTTTAGTAGAGATAACCAGTTAATGACCATCTTTTAAAAAACAAAAGATAGAAGCTACAGCCTCTGAGCTGGGTCAGGGTCTACTATAGTATACTGCTTAAAAATTTTATAAAGACAAAAATAATGCACAGCCTCTTGATAAGCCGAGATAGGTGGTTTCCTTTTGCCCTTTTCTTGTGACTCCTTCAACTGGAAGAAAAGTGAAGACCTGGCTGAACACAGTGACTAAACAAGCCATTCCTGTTTCTTTGCTTCTACCAGAAGCACTCCACACAGCAGCACTTTAATAAGCTCTGCAACAATTGTATTTGTTCTTGTTCATTTAGTAAATATATGCCGAGGGCCTGCCTGCCTGTACCAGGAGTTGTTCCAGGCTTTGAACAAATGGAGATTATGACTCTTGTTTTTCCTTCTCTATTGACCCTTCTGCTTTTCTGTACTTTGACCAATACCACATAAGCCTTGTCCCAAAAGGAGTGTGTGCAGGCTGGAATGAGGAAGGGATAGAAGAAAGTCTGACAATGATTTATTTAGGTGGCTAGCATCATAAAATCCTACAGATTCTATGCCAAGAGTTGACACAGATAAGATTAGTTGTGAAAGGCCATATGTACAGGACAAAAATCTGTGACTTAAATAAATATTAGATAATTGCATGTAGGATCTGGTAGAAGTAGAAATAGTCAGATGCACCATGTCACCAGTGCAAAAAAAAAATCATCAAGAATTTATTTAATATTCTCTGGAGTGAATTTTAAAAGCATGCACTGTGCTCAGGATTAGGATAGCTCTGTCCTAAGTAACTCACTGGCTTGTCAGAGTCCACATGCATAAAGGAATTCAGAAATATTAAGCAGACTGTAAAAAGAACCCACAGAGGCTGCTACCCTTCTAACCTGTGCAGCAGCTAGTGCACTCTTGTGGTCTTCCAAAGTCACTACAAGTTGTTCATGCTCGGAGAGTAAATTCTTATGCTGTTGCTATACAAAAGAGAATTTTACACATTGAACTTTATATTATAAGACAAGTTCTTCTTTGGTATGACCACCCCAATGTTACCTGCTTGTTTTTTTGTTGTGGCAGCAATTGTTTCGTTTAAAAATTATTGGAGAGAGAAGACTATGATTTTTTGTGGTATTCCAAAATCTCAAATGTGCTACCCAACTATAACCATTTACAATGAAATCAAAACCAAAGCAGCAAATATCTCTTTATTTTTAAGACTTTGCCAATAAAAATCTTGTTAATATGCAACCATCTGACAAAAGAATAATTTCAGTATTAATGAAAATATTTCAATTTTCGGACCACCTTTAGCTTACAATACTAAAGGGTGAACGTATCAGGTACATTCCAGTTATGCAAAGCCCACAGTCACAGTCTGGATTTGTAAAGCAGGTCAATTAGGGGATGACTTTTAAAGTCATTCTACACAGTATGGCAGGCAAACACCCAAAAGGCAAATGTCTGGTTAAATTTTACCTTGACATCTTGAAGCTGTGTATGTATGTCTTGGTGAGCTTTCCTTAATTGTCTATTCTCTTCTCTCAAATGGTACACAGTTTCTATTTTAGAAAAAAGAAAAGAAAAACCACACACACATAAAGCCTTGAAATTCTCAGGTTTTTGATTTTATTAAATCTGAAGCCTCTATCTTCCCTCCACCCCCTATACACACACACACACACACACACACACACTGCCCCAGTACTGGAAACTGAACCCAGGGGTGATATACCACTAAGCTACATCTCCAGCCATTTATATTCTTTTTATTTTTGAGACAAAGTCCCACTAAAATTGTGGAGGCTAGCTTCAAAATTATGATTCTCCTGCTTCAGCCTCCCAAGTGGCTGAGATTACAGGCATATAACACCATGTCTGGCCTTATATAACTTATTTTTAGGATTTGCTTTGAACTTTGATAGGATAACAATCCAAATCAACAAAAACGACATGATATTGGGATACAACGGGGATTTCTCTGGACCTGGCTCAGTGGTTTACTTTTACACAAGCTATGTGTTATAGATGAAAATTTAAAAAATTTTTAACTAAACATGAATTAAAAATGAAATATTTATGTTAATAAGCAAGCCCTTAGGAATAAAATGTAAAGGGCAGGAATGGTCTCAGATTTGAGTGTTTTCACAAATTAAAGTTATCAGCAAGTACAGACTCTATTTCTCACGGTGTAATTTGCATAGTCCTCTAAAGGTACTTCAATTACAAAGGCAGCTCACAAAATTACAGACAAACAAAGAGAAATCCTATTTATCTGTGAAAAAACTAGATGTTTTCTTTTTCTTACCATTGAATTCTTAATTAATCCAGGCTCAACTTCTAATAGCTATATGACAGTTATTTTTGTTTGTTTGTTTGTTTTCAGAGCAACAATGTAAGACTGTAGCAGTCAGAATGAAGTCCTCTTCTCCCAAGCACTACTGTTCAGGGAAAACTTTCCACTTAAAGATTCTAGATCCATCTCTTTTATCACCTTGGTGGATTTTCATCACTTCCTGTATCTGGGCATTGCAGATTAAGAACTGACAGTTGCTGAGCCAAATTCAAGCCACAAATATCATCTGACCCCTGAAATGCTGGCCTTTATAGTATTTCTCACATCGCCACCATTTCAAAATAAAGAAACTGATTCTGACAAAATCCAGCAACACTGGACCAATTCTCATGTTCAAAACACTGTGCAGAAACTGAGTGTTAGTATAGTGGCTATATAATCATTTTCCAATGAGAGATGCTTTGGAGATGTAAAGTGGGTTCTATGATCACCTAGTTGGGACAGCAGGTATGAACCTGGACTGTCCTGGGGCAAACTGTCCCTAAATAATAGCCATCTCCTTCAGCCAAGGCTCTAACTCACCATGTATGCTTAGTACGGAAGGAAAGTATTAATCACCAGCTCTCATAAAGCTCTTGCCATTTTTACTCCCTTATAGACCCTTCCTGATCCCTGGACATTGGATTTGTGATTGGGTTTGGGGGAGAGATCAGGAATCAGGTGGGAATTGTGGCTAGTAACTGGGTAGCACACCTACATGTAAAAATGGATTTTCTCAAGAGTAAAAACTGGATACCACTGGCAATCTAAGAGGACTCTATGATGTGTGCCATCGGATGGTGGCCTTCAGTCTAACACAACACACATTTGAAATACCAAAACTGTGCTAGTGTTTGAAGAAATTTCAGGCTATAAACTTAATGGTGGTGGCCCCTGGGCCTTTGCTGGGCTCCCCTAAGCTAGCTGTTTAACTAGAGCAGGCCTCTACTTCTTCATTTGTTGAATGAGGCTGAGCAACAAACACACCTAAGTGGCTGTTATGTTAAATGAGATCATCCACATGAAGAGGTTCACTTGGTTCCGTGCTGGCGATCAGAATGATGATAATGAAGGGTGATTATCTTAGCTTTGTGCTATGGGCTCACCTTGCTAGGAGTCCCAAGTTCTCTCCTTGTATCACATCCAACTACCGGAGACTGCTTGGACTCCACAACTTAGTTGGCCACCACTGACCTGCACTGATCACAAGGTGCTTTAACTTACTGTCCTGTGGTTTTGTCAAGAGTCATAATCAAACAAAGGTGCTAGTGTGAACACTGTCTGTGAAAGTGTCAAAGTCACTGTCCACACTCAGTTGTTTCAGGTCTCCAGAAAAGTTTCTTTTAAAATTGGTATCAGAAGTACTGCTGTCTTTGTTCTCCTAACTCACCGGTATGTTCTCTTTCTGATGACTGAACCCCCAATACTTACTGTATTTCCCCTTTTGTCCTGGGTGCCAGGAAGTTCAGATCAGATTATGAGACTCAGTTCTCAGAACCCACCTATGTGTCCTACTATTTTCCTCGGTTCTGCTTTCTGCTCTGTGTAAGTAGTATGGTTTAGATGAAGTGTCCCCCAAAAGCTCATGTGTGAGACAATGCAAGAGAGTTGAGAGGTAAAATGACTAGGTTATGAAAGGCATAACCTAACCAGTGCATTAATCCACTGATAGGAACTAACTGGGTAGAGATGGTAGGAAGGCAGGGTGTGGGTAGAGGAGGTGGGTTACTGGGGATACATGCCTTTGGGGTTTATATTTTGTCCATGGTGAGGAAAGCTCTCTCAGTCTCTCCACTTCCTGGTGTCATGTCCTAAGCCACTATCCTCCACCACATTCTTCTGCCATGATGTCCTTCCTCTCCTCAGGCCCAGAGCAGTGGAGTCAGCTGTCTACATATTGAGACCTCTGAAATCATGACCCCAAATAGACTTTTTCTCTTCTAAAATTGTTCTTGACAGGTATTTTGGTCATAGTGACAAAAAGCACAACTAAAACAATAAAGTTAAGAAATTCAGTAGTTTAGACAAAGGGGAATGAAGGGAAGGGAGGGGTTGGGAATAGGAAAGGGTTAAGGTGGTTAAACAAGAAAGACTAAACACTGGAAGCATTCACAAAAGGTGGCAAAAAGGAAATGAATCTGACATGATTTTCCTATGAACATATATTACTATACCACAGTGAATCTCCACATCATGTACATCCACAAGACAGGGATCCTAATTAGAATAAGATATACTCCATGTTTGTATAAATATGTCAAAGTAGACTGTCAAGTATAACTAAAAAGAATTTTAAGAGTAAGGGGTAAAAAGACCTAAAAAAACCTGTCTTTCAGGGTTATTGCTGAAGTTGAATGTACTGAAGTATAAATCAGGCCTCTAGAAAATTTTATTTCTCATTTCTTATTGGATCTACGTATTATCCATATATTTTAATGAATTTACATAAGTTAGCAAACACTAAATAGTGTATCCACAAGCTAATATCTCTTGCCCCTCCACACAAAGCTGTGACTTTCCCAGACACTAGAATCCTCTGGTTTTCTCTTCCTTTATGCCACCTTTTGTGAATGCTTCCAGTGTTTAGTCTTTCTTGTTTTCCGTATCCAATAAATCCTCACCACCTCCCCACTATGATAGACATGCCAAGGACACCTTCACTGTCTTGGGTACCACCTGCTAACACTGGCCCAACTAGCAAGACCACCTTAACCCTTCCTACGATTGCCTCAGTCATAGCTTACCTATTTCTACAGGGCTTTTGTTATAGCTTGTTCTTTTTTTTTTGGGGGGGGGGAGGGAGGGATATTTATAGACAAAATAAAAGTATAGAGAGGCCATATGTGCCCATCACCCAGCTTTCCTCCATGAATCTTAGTAAATGTGGCCTACTTCTCACACATGAGCTTTTGGGGGATACTTCATCTAAACCATACCACTTGTTTGCATAGTACAAAAGATTATAGCCTTATTCAGATTTCACAACTGGTTTTGCATGTACCAAGTATCTTTTAAAACCACTATTCACACTCCAAACTTACTTAGCGCTAATGCATTGGACTGCAGAATGCACTTGTTTCCTGAACTCATTCATACTCAAAGAAGTAATGCCTTTTGTTCCCTATTACTATGAAAACATCTGCCCCTGGTGTTAGTGAAGTGAATGCGCTGTCTGCTGATCACTATTCTACCTGCTCACACCATACCCTACCAGGTGTATACATTTATGGTCATCCTTATTTAACAGATAAGGACAATGAAGTCTTTGGTGATAACACAACTTGCCCATTATCACATTAGTCTTTGAAAAAGCCCAGGTTCACAGCAGTCTGCAACTAGAGACTGAATTTTTTGTAGCTCCTCTCAGTTGTCAACCAGAGGTCTCCCTGCAAACCCTGGGGAGTTTTGGAACTGTATGGAACAATTTTTGATCATGACAGTAACTAAGGAACACAGAAGACATGTAGCAGGTAGGGAATCTAAGATGCTAAATGTTTCAAAACACACATTCAGAGAACTGTCTTGCCCAAATTGGCCATATGCCCCATTGAAATAGAATAGAATAGGCTGAGTCATTTATTTTGCTTCCCTATACAAATCCATTAAGATAAATACGAAAAGTTACAAAGAAGCAAGTAGCTGGTAAAGGCACACAAGATACATGGAAATCAATCACCACACAAAAACAAACAAGATGAAAATGTATTATTCTACAGAAACATTCACATGACTCTTATGTACATATCATCTGGCTAATTTGATTTTCAAAATACCTTTTAGCTTAGAAAGTTCTTGTTCCTTTTCTTCCTGAAGTTGCAAGTATTTCTGCTTGTGGTCATTGAATGTTCTACTGAAGTCTTCTCCTTGTTTACGATGTTCCTCTTCCAAGTCACTGTGCTGTTTCTTCAGCTCCTCATGTTGACTCTGCAAGACAAAAACTTGAGCAGAGATATACATTCTCTAAATCATATAACACCCTTTTTTCTTTTCTTTCTTTTTTTTATCGTGGTACTGGGGACTGAACCTGGGACACCTGAACGCGATGGAGATACATCCCCTTCCCTTTTTAAGACAGGGTCTTGCTACATTGCCCAGGCTGGTCTTGAACTTGTGATCCTCCCCAGTCCCTGGAGTTACAGGCATGCACCACCACACCTAGCATAACAACCCATTGCCTGACTTTTTCTTGGATGAAGTAGGAAGAAATGCAGACATTGGCTTTGTTTTCCTCAGCTTGGTGTTCCTTTGTGCAGCAATCCCCCATTTCCCCCACATTTCAAATGAATAGTTTAGATCAAGGCCAAAAATAATTTTTCCCTTAGTTTTTAGCATCATTGGGAACAACAAGAAGTTAGCATGAAAGATGGAAAAGAGAAGGATTTAGAGAAAGTCTGAGGGGCTCAAATTACTGTGGAAATGAAATAAAGCTAATTACCCTCCACAAATATTATAACTTTCTTCTTTTCAATCTGTTAATTTCCCAGCAACACCCAATTCTCCCTCAGTATTCATGGAGGATTGGGTCCAGGACACCCCTTGGATGGCAAAAGCCACAGACACTCAAGTCTCTTAATAGCACAGTATTTGTGTATAACCTCTGCAGAGCTCCCCCAACCCATATTTTAAATCATCTCTAGATTGCTTATTATATACTTAATACAAGGTAAATGCTATTTAAATCACTATTATATTGCTAAGGGAATAATGCTAAGGCCAACAGTTGTATGTGTTCATTACAGATTCAATTTTCCCCAAATATTCCAGAAACATGCAGGCTGGTTAAATACATGGATGCAGAACCCATAGATACACAGGGCCAAATTTCTCTTCTTTGGTTTTCAGCCTTTCAAGTAAATCAGTTTAATAAAGAGAAAAAATAAACAAATCAGACTCTTTTCCTTTTTCAGGAGGTAATAAGTCAATAGAATTGATTTCTATTTACCTTATTTTTATTATAACCCAATATGAAATCATAGTTCAGTTAAATGCCACAGCCTCCAAATGATTATTGTGAAATGACAGTCAACTTTAAGTTGTGTACTACACTCATGACAATGGGAAAGGTTCTGGTTTCAATAAAAAGCCTGTGCCCTACTGATATGGGGAAAAGAAAACACAAAACAAAGAGCTGGCGGGACGGAGTGGATGGCAGGATTTGCCCACGCCCTGTGGAATGACGTGATGCTCATCTCTTCTAGCTTGACAGAAACAATGAGTTTTTTCCTTTGGTCTTCCTGATCCACAGTAATGAATTTTACCCGAGGACCAAGGAAGGAAAATGTTTAAATAGTAAACTATGTTCCTGTGGTAGGTAAAAGTACATTTATTAAATATTGGTAACACAAAGGAAGCATTTTAAGAGTTCTACAGTCTCCAGTCTGTCTTAGATAAAAGAAAATGCCTGAGGAAAATGACTGAGAAATTAAATAAACAATTTTAACAATAAAAACAGCAAAATAGGACTGGAGTTGTGGCTCAGTGGTACAGTGCTTACCTCACATGCGTGAGGCACTGGGTTCAATCCTCAACACCTCGTAAAAATAAATAAATAAAATAAAGGTTGTGTCCATCTACAACTAAAAAAATATTTTAAAAAACCCAGCAAAATAGGAAATGAGGGGACCAAAGAGCCTGTTGTAAAAGAAATCAGGTGATACATCAAACATGTTCTTCGTGAATAGTATGTTGGGATACTACAACTATATGTAATTTTTAACTAAATATGGCTTTAACATACTATAACACAACCAACCCTCTGTAAACTTTCTTTAATCACTTTAAAGATCATTGATCCAAATATTAACTAATCCTTTCATTTATTCATGAAGAACAACTTTAAATTACTCACTTTCAACATCTGATGTTGGACATTCAATGCACTGTATCTGCTATTGGAATCTTGCTGTAAATTGGAAAAAAAAAAGTCAACAAAAGGAAACTAATCTGGTTCTCTTGCTAAAGACAGCTTCAAGGTCCTAATAAAAGATTTTCATTTATTTCACATGTATAAGATAAAACGTATTCTATGCTTGAAACCGGATGTCTCTAGGGCTACCTCTCTATTTAATAGCAGAAATAAAATTTTCATATTCTCATAGGTTTGCTAGATTTTAGAGAAGAAAATGTGGGACACTGAATCATAAAATGAAAGGATGACAGGGCCCTTAAAGAGATAATTGAGCTCTGCCTCTCATAGTCTGAAGAACCAAGCAAGGCCCAGACACAGGGAGGAACTGGTGAGACACATGATCACTGCACATGGCTAATACCTTGCGCTGGGTGCTGCAGGCAAGGGGGGAAAGGGAACATGTCAACTGCACCCCAGGTATCACAAGCTCAGCATGACTTAAGGGAGGGAAGAGAACAGATACGTTCCTTCTCTCATTTTTGGTGGGTAAGAAACTCAACATAGATGGATTTTACCACAGAATGGGAAATGAAGATAGGCCAAGGACCAGGCCCAGGGCAAATGCTTCATTAAGCAGTAGAGTCAGGGCCAGAACCTGAGCTTAAGCCTGTGGCTCATCTGCATGTTCAGGTCCATGTTTCAGGGGCGCAGCTCTGGGGTCCAGTGGAGCATCTGCATGTAGGGGCCTCACACACTGCCACCATCCTGGGCAGCCACATCTAGTCAGTATACAAAAGACACCTGGAATGTTCCCTCCCTTCACTATTATGATTTACCTATACCCAACACACCCCTGCTTTTCTCCATCACCAACACAAGTATATTTTTAAGTATGTTTTTTCTTATGCTCACAGCTTCTAAAATAAGCTATATTTTTGCTTTATCATTTTATTTCACTGCTTTATGACTTTAACTTACAAAGAAAATCACATTACAAAATGTAGAATAGATTGCACATGGTCTTGGCTAAGGTTTTAAAATCAAGTAAGAATTGAAAGCTGAAGGCCTCCTAGGCAATTCAAAGAACTGACTTTTCTCAGTTTTAATACCCCCAAACACTAGCGTTTTATTCAACTAAGGCTTGTATATTTTTCTTGGAGTAAGAGAATGACTTGCTTTTCTCTAGTAAATTTGGACTTTACCAATATTTTTAAATGCCAATATCATTCCTTCCTTCCTTTATTCATTGCACAATTGTGTTTAAATGCCAACTCTAGGCCAGGTCTTGTGTTAGATTACACTTGCAAAACCTAAGCAAAGCATGACATCCTATAACAAGAGACCCAATAAACAAATAAATGAGTGAATAAAAATAATCTTCTCTGCATTGTTAAACATTGAAGCTATTCTCAGTTTACCACTATCATCAATAATGTGATAAGTAAAGGTAAATTTTAAAAAAAACATATTTTAAGAACGTCCTCTTAGAGTTTTTTGGATAGTAAAAGAAAAAAAAAATTCTGTCAATCCTACAATCCTAGTGATCAACAGAATGAAATATTTTGCAATTGTATTTCTCTTTCCTTCAAGTTTCATGAAAACAAATTAAGGGAAGAAAAAACAAAAGCAAGCAAACAAAAAACACTTACCCTTCCTTTATTTAGTGTTTCTTGTGCTTCTAATTTATAAACAAGGAAATCTAGGAGACAAAATGGAGAAAATAGAGTATAAACTCATTCACTGTGGAACTGTAAAACATCTAGAAGAATAAAGGCAAACCACTCAGACTTGCAAAAATGTTTTAGGTTTAAATCAATCTACTTGATGATTTATATACTTTATACTACCCTCTGAATGCTTTAGAAAATTTTGAAGAAAACATTACAGTCTTCTTCCTTACCTTGTAGTTGTAAATCCTGCATCAACAAAATTCACATTAAAACCAATTGATTAAAAGTGCACTTAGAATCTCTCTGTGGTTAATTTGTTTTGAAATTGAGGGGGGAAATACTTGCACATCTGAAGACAAGGGTGATTTATGGCTACCCTCTAGATGGCATACTAAAATTCTTCAAGCCCTAAAAAGAGAAATCAAGCCATCCAAGCCATCTTTAGTGCTCTGAAAACTTTATTATCCACTAGATGGCTCTATAAAATCACTCTGCATTTGAAGACAAGAAGACTCAATCCTCTCAGAGCACTGTAATGATGTTAACTTCTGTTCTTCACATAGGCCCAACTGAAAGGTCAGCCAAGCTCCCAACCAATTCAAACCTCCCCGATCGCCTTTCTACCCTACCAAGGGTTCAGACAGAATACTGACTCTGTTTTCAAAATTTATCACAAAACATGAATAACTAAAAATAAGACTGTACTTTAACTTCAAGCCATGAGCTGGATGAGGGCTGTGCATTATAGGAAAATCCTAACAAAAATCAACAGCATTGCCTAAAACCTGCATACAACGCTACTTTTTCAAACTGAACCAATCAGCTGTGCCAATAAAGGGTTTCAGGGATTAAAAAAGAAATATTTAATTCAAAAGACAGCAGATAGTGTGATTGATTCATTGTATTATACATGGGTATCTGTATGTCTCTCAAAAGTGTTATCTACTGAATAAGGCTTGCTGTCCCCCACCATCTGGGACAGAAGTTCCAGGTGTTGGTAATATATCTATGTAACATTCAGATAAAAAGTCATTTACTTCTGAAATAATACACATAACCAATATATAAACTACCTTGAGGTGGCACAAACAAAACGAAAGATTCCAAATGTAATCTCAAGCAGGAATAGCTGCACAATGCTTAGCATATCTCTTTCTCTATCTAGAACACTGATTTCAAGTTGATTTGAAAAATATTTCAGCCAAAAAATAAATAAATAAAAGTCATAATCAAGCCCATGATGCTTTAAAATTGTACGAAAAGTACAGAAGACACATGGCACAATTTACTTACCCTCCTTTGCTTTCTTATGTTCAAGTCTTTCCTTTTGCAAGGATTTCTCTAATCTTGATCTATGTTCGTACACAACTGCAAAGAGAAGAGTTAAAAGTTTTTCTTCAAAGAATTAGAAATTCTACAATAATAATGACATCTGTTCAAAACAGGAAGAACGCAGTGTAGGGCCCTTACACAATTATAATAAAAACAAATGCATTATACGTTCTATTTTCTTGATAAGGGATAAACATATTAAGACACATAATTATTGGCTGACTCCCAGACAGTGTCCCCTTTTCTAGAGTAAATACTCTGATACATCTGCTTTCTTTGCCAGAAACTGTTTCTTCCCCTGTCTTCAAATGCAGGTTATCTCTGTGAGGTTCACTATCTCTTTCTAGCCAACAATGTCCACCTTCTTACCCTCAACCACCACCTGCAGATCAGCTGTCCCCACATTTTTATTTCCTGCTCTCACCTGTGTTAGCCACTATATTTCCACCCAGATCTCTCCTCAGTACTACAAAACCAACATGATCTTCATCTGAGCAGAGACTGCCTGGACCAACCTTGTCAGGAAACCTTGGCAGCACGCCACTGGGGTGAAAGAGAAGGTGCAGTCCCACCCTGGCCTAAGTCAAGGCAAACAGGTAAGAGAAGCATAGAGCTGGAGTGGGGAGGGACTCTCCAAAGAACCCATAAAAGAGCCCACAAAAGAATGAGTCAGGTCTATCAGCTGCCAAGGCCCAAAGAAGTCAATGGCAACAGAGGTCAGTTCTGTAAGACCCTCTGTCCTCCCCGCCCACCCATCTACTCTGCAGAGGCCAGGGATGCCGGTGAGCACAGGCAGTGTGTTGGGGGAACCAGGGAGAAACTGAACCCAGCTCTCTTCCCTGCTGCAGGCTTCATGACTGCAGGAAGCAGAAGCTGCAAGAGAGGGAAAAGCCCAACTTTGAATGAACCAAGTGTTTTTAATGACACGGGACCAGACAGAAAAACTGCCAAACGGACACTGTGTGGGTATAAGCCACTGAATGTTATGTTTTGTTTTTTCGAATCTGAGAAAAGCAGAAGCAGCAGCTAAGTCTGTCTTAGGCTTCACCCATGAACAGAAAACTTGGCCGCCTGAGTGGTTGGAACAGGCAATGAGGGGACATGGGGAGAGGATGGATTACATTTCTGATGTACCCTTTGGATCCTGTTTGTTCAGCATTGTGTAAGCATGATCTCATTCCCTGGCATGTGAGGCCAAACCCGTTATTCCATTCTTTTACCAGACCTGAGCTCCATGGCATTCCATGATTTCACCATCAATCACCAGCTGACAGGTATGATACACACAACTTCCCCAATGCTACCGGCTGCTGCCAAAGTCATCATGGTCCCAGCAATTCGCCTCCCCAGCCCTACTCTCCGCTTGTGCTGCTAAAGGGATTCTCCTGCCCTTTTCCCTCGATCTCAGCTGCCATTTCCCAGCAACTGCCACTCTTTTTCCACCACAGCCACCATCTCCTGGATCCTCCACCTTCTCCCACACTGCATCTCGTCCTGTCGTCCCACATAAGCCTCCCTTTCCTGGGGTTCCACATGCAGCTCTCACAGACCCTGTGCCTACTAGCACCCCTGCTAACATCTCTGCCAAAACACCTGGGACTCCTGTGACCACACAAACTGGCCTGATGCAGTCCCCGATGGCATGAATCCTCAGCCAATCACCAAAATAAGCCCTGCCCCATTTCCGTCCTTTACCAGGCTGCCTATTTGATTCACAAGACATCCTTTTCCCTCATTATTACTACAAAGGGATTCAATACAACCCCACATGTATGGGGTCCCTACCTGGACTAAAATTCCAGTGTTGGGAAACCACATTTTTTTCAAACATTTATATGTGTGGTCCTGGGTCAATTCCAAAAGCCTGTTGAAATCAAAAGATTTCCTGGATTGCTACTAATATCCTCATCTTGAATGATTTGGTGGATAAACAGACAAAGGATAAAGATTAACACTATACAGGTTCAGTAAGCCAAGCCCTAAACTGTACGCTCATTCCACGACAGGGAACATAAGGGGAATTAAATACTAAATTAAAATACTATCATGATACAACAGAAACAAGAATAGGCTGCTACAGAAACACCTAAGCTGCCCAGCTGGGCGCAAAAACACTGCGTCTCTCCTAATCCACTGGCCAAAGGTCTTATGGTCTGGGTAGAAAGCTGTAGGAACATAAGCAAGAAGGTGAAAAGGGAATCTGAAGCCAAGCACTGAGGCACACCCATGTAAGTCCAGCTACTGGGAGGCCGAGGCAGGAATGTCAGAAGTTCAAGACCAACCCGGGCAACTTAGCAAGACCTTATCTCAAAATAAATAAAAAAGGACTGGGGATGTTGATCAGTGTTAGAGCAGTTGCCTAGTATGTGCCAGGACCTGAGTTCTAGTCCCAGTTCTGGAAAGAAAAAAGGAAAGAAAAGGGAATCTGGGTATAGTAGGTGACATTACAGACTGGACTTCAGCAAGCATGTGCTTCATTTTTAAAGGACAAAACAGGCAAGATCTTGCTGAAACAGCTGAAGCAGAAGCAATGGGTCCCAAGTCTAGGGGCTTCTGAATGGGAGGTCACCCATTAAGGGGGAAACAGCCCCAGCACAGCAATACCATGATGATGGCGATGATGATAAAGAGCAGGACAGTCAAGAGGCATATGTGAGGGCTGGGGTGCTCATCACCCACCCCCAGCAACCTCGGGTTCTAAATGTTAAACATTATTATGGAAAGCTAAGGATAGAGAAAAAACTGAATTTAAAATCTTGTGAAGTTATTTACTTAGTAAAATAAGGCAGCAAAGTGTGTTTCCAGGGAACCAGGTAGTGACGATTTTTGACTGAGGAAGCAGACAACTCATCAGTGTGATTTCATCCTCAAAGAGAATAGAGTCCACCAGATTGGATCAAGCAGAGAGGGAGCACGGGGGATTCAGGTGGAGTGTGCTGCAGAGAGGTAGGAGATGGTGTTTCAGTCTGTATTCTCTTCCCTGGAATTCAGTCAAAAAGATAATGTGCAACCTAGGTCCAAAGGACCCATTTATCAAGTTGAACCATACAACTGTCTCTGACAGTCTCATTCTCAATGGGAATTTACACATTCAACATATTAGCAGCAGTGTGTCTGGAGAGCCAGGAGACTCTAGGATACTTACTTAAAAACTGTCATAAATAACTCACATAAAGCCTGTGCAATGCCCCCCCACCCCCCATGGAGGCATGTTTGGGCACTCTGGTAAGGATTCAAAGATCCTGGGAAATCTGAAACACATGCATGACTACACAGTCACATCACTAATTATAAGGTCTAAGGCCAGACAAATGTGATTTTTGCAAATATGGTAGGAAAAAAAAAGATGTGGTAAACAGGAATGAAGAATATATGAAGAAACCATGAGGTAATTGCACTATTAATAATGTCTCGCTCAGAACTGGCCAAGCCATTATTTCAGCAGCAGCTTCTAGTCCTGATGTAATATAACTTAAGAAGTCAGACTTGGCTTGAGGGTTGGAGGATACCACACTGCAGGAAGAGGAAAGAGCAGAGCAGCAAAGAGTGATGGAAATGTGGAGACGCACTGTTCTTCATCACTCTCAGGAGAAAGAGAAATAGAAAAAGAGGCCTTAAATATAAGCTGAGGAAGGCACATTAGGTAAAGGGCAGCAGAGTGGAAACCAACCCCGGGTTAAAAAGTCTAGAAAGAAGGGGGAAGCGGAGCACAGAGGGGAGAGGCAGGTGGTAATGTAATGGCTAAGAGCACAGACCTGTGCCTGAGTTCAAATCCCAGATTCATTTTTTATGGGGTGAGCTGCTGAATTTCTTAGCATCCGAGTTTCCTTTTAGGGTCTATAGGGATAATAACATTACCTGTTTCTTCAAATGCATACCAGAGTTAAATAAGTGAATATGCAGGAAGTCCTCAACTTCTGATTCTTTGACCTCATAATGGTACAAAGCAATATACACTTAGTGCATACAGTACTTTGAATTTTTATTTATACAGTGGCTGGTGATAGGTGACTGAACATTCTCTTGCAATGCTGGGCAGAGGTGGAAAGCGGCAGCTCAGCCAGCCAAGTGACTGAACACCCCACACTCTGCAGTGTACCCTGCTGCCAATTTATGAATTTCAGAAGGTTAGCTATATGAAATGCCTTTTCAACTTATAATACTTTCAACTTATTAGTTTATCAGGACATAACCCTATCATACATGGGGGAACACTCATATATTAAGTGCACAGAACACTGCCTGACACACAGTGAACAATATAAAATACTGAAGTTTTTTAACCTATCTATTGGCTTAAAAGTGCAAGAGAATGCAGGTCACAATGGTACTCTGGAGGCTGGGGCAGGACAATTCCAAGTTTGAGGCCAGCCTCAGCAATTCAGCAAGGCCCTCAGCAACACAAACCCTGTCTCAAAATAAAAAAATAAAAAGGGATGGGGATGTAGTTCAATGGTAGGGGTCCCCTGGGTTAAATCTTGGGTACCAAAAAAAAAAAAAAAAAAAAGAAAAGAAAAAAATGTACAAGAGAAGGAATCAAACGATCTCTCATAAGTCCTTCCCATCTTATATTTAAAGTTTAATAAAAAACAAAGAACACACACATATTACCATATATACACTGACTTGAATGGCAATAATATGGTTCTGTTTTCTTTTACTTACAAAAATTCCCCTGTAAATAGAGAAGCAAATAAACATCCCCATAGCTCATTAAGCCTGTAAGCCTTTTTTTTTTTTAAATAAAAACTGGAGAGTAAAACAGACCAAATAGAATCTTTGTGTCCTTATAGTACTTCTAGAAAATTTCACTATTTAAACACACACGCTCACACGCACACCCTTAATTTCTTTTACTAACATTTTTCAGGCTTTTAGAGTGGCAATTTATCTAGCTAGGTTTACTGTTGCACTTAGAAGGAGGATTGCTAATCAATCCTTGTCACCGATCTCTGTTTTTCTATTTATACTATGGAGTCAAGGGTATCAGTCAAGATGAACTAATGCTGCTAGATACTCTACGACAAAAAAATGGT